GTTAGTAGGACTGGATCATTGTAGGATTCTGTAACCCCTTTTGTTTTCCATTTTCCAAAATGTATTTGTTTCTGAGACTCTACCTTTTGTAAAGTTCTCGTCTATTAATGAAATCAGATTTTGGACCAATCATTTTTATGATCTTTTGTTTTTGTTATGCAAATTTCACTTATTCGTTAATAAGAAATTTTTTTCGAAAAGCAAAGTGTTTTGAAAACTTAAAGTTTTAAAGAAAACTAATTTAACAAAGCATATTAAAAAAATTCTAGAGGTAACATGATAGTGTTACACTACTCTCAAAAAACCAAAAGCTTGCTTCTGCCTCCGGCCAAAGACATGCCCAGCAGCAATCCCCACTTTTAAGCCAAGATTTCTCTTTAGTAGGTTTGCAAGAGTATTGATTACTTTGGAAAATTGTTATTTTCCCCGGAAGAAGTGCCATCCAGTTTGAAACATCGAGACTCGGCGTGATGGGTTTCCTCTTTGTGTTCCTTGCTTTTCTCTTTCCTTCTCCCTCGTGGGTCGGTCTGCATCTTTGCATTTGCATCATATCATCAGCATACACATTTATTTGCTTTTTCTTTAGGTTTCTGTTTGACTAGCTGTTGCCATTGAGATCCTTTAGTCGTTTCCCTTCTTTGATCCGTTTACCAACGGTTTTCGCTTTGCAGTTGTTACCTCGACTTTGTCTTAATCTTGAGATTATTTGTTTCCATCCTGGGAAGCTAGTGGTGACTAGCAATATCTGATATTACCAAGACGTTTAGCTATTACTAATGGTTACCTTGTTTTGGCCATAACCAATCATCCTAAGTCCAGTGGTTACTGACATTGCTTGAGGCTGTTTGTTTTTGGAGTTCGTTATGTTAACAACTTTTCCCCAAATGAAGTCTAGTGGTTACTAGCATTGTTAAATCCAATGGTTATTGGTATGCCCTGATTTGGTTACCACCAGTCCTTCTCCATGCCCAGTGGTTACTGGCGTTGTTTAAAACTAATTGTTATTGGTACCTCGGTTCGGTCGTCACCAATCATTCTAAAACCAGCGGTTATTGACATTGTTTACATCCAATTGTTATTGGAATCCTTTGATCTAGTTATTACCAATCTTCATTGAAATCTAGTAGTTACTAGCACATCATTAAAATTCAATGGTTATTGGTATTTAGTTTGGTTGTTACCAATTTCCCCAGTAAGTCCAGTGATTATTGGCATTGTTCAAAACCAGTTATTATTGGTACCTTTGATTTGGTCATCACCAGTCCTTTCCAAGTCTAGTAGTTACTAATCCAATGGTTATTGTTACTTGATCTGGTTGTTACCAATTTCCTCAGACATTCTAGTGGTTACTAGCATTGTTAAATCCAATCGTTATTGGAATACCTTTGAGTTGGTTGTCACCAGTCGTTCCAAATTCAGTAGTTACTGGCATCACTTAACACCCAATTGTTATTGACGCTATGAGTTGGTTTATTACCCACTTACCCTCAGGAAGTCTAGTAGTTACTAACACTCCTTAAAACTATATGTTGTTCTGGTTGTCATTGATATCCCCAGCAAAGTTTTGCTTTCCCCAGTCGAGTTTCAGAGATCTAGTGGTTACTAGCATCCCTAGTGCGTCTGGTCTTGTTTCTAGTCCTTTCTTGAAGATCCTGTTCGAACTCTTCGTTATAGGAAATTCCTCATTTGGTTACCCCCAGTGAGGATCGTGTCTCTGGTCTTTCACTTCCCTAGTGGAAATTTGCTTTCTTCCCCAGTGGGGTGTGTTCCCCCTTTTCCCCTAGTGAAGATTTGTCTTCCCCAATAGAGTTTGGGTCCCTGTATGAAAGATTCCCTTTGAAGTAACATCATTAGTCATGTTTGAACTATTGCTTGTTATGCCTTGGATCTTTCCCCGGTGTGTCGGGTCCTCGATGAGTAGTTACTCGTTGTTTTGCTGTTCTTTTTATTTTTGCTCGTGTGTCTGCATTTGTCTTGCATCCAAGCATCATAAAGCATCATTTAGAATCCATTGCATTTCAGCATTCGTCCTTTTGAATACCATCGGATCTAAGGGACAAAATTTCTGGTTTGCTATATTTAAATACCTTTCACTACGATTCTATGAGGATTGTTATCTCTCATTGCCATCTAGTGAATATATTTAAATAGGGGCAACTGTTGCACCCCAAATTTTGACCATTAGATCTTCATCGTCATTCTAGGATCTTCTTCATTTGTTTCTCTTACTATAACCTATTTCAAGTTTCTCTTTGTCAAGATACAGGTGAATTAGGGTTCCATACAGTCAAGAATCGAGGTTTCATTGGTTTGATCAGTTAATGTCTTGGATTGATTCTCCATGGAACAAGTCTCTACATTATCAAGGATACTACTTTGGATCAAGTATGAATCCAATTTGAGGTTGTCACCCAAAGATCAAGAACAGTGCAGTCCAGGACACCCGATTAGGGTTTCTGATCAAGAAAAGTCAACTATAGTTTGACTTTTGATTTAAAAGGTGTTTCAATGATGGAATCATGGTACATGAAGCTCATATGGCTTAGTGAAGTCCACCCAATAAGTTTCAAAACCTCAAAAGACCAAGAACATCAACAGTCGATTCAGGGTTTTTCGATGAATCGGCCCGTTCGACTGAAAAGTCAACTATTTGACTAAAAGGAATTTGAACTTAAAGTTTGAAGAAAATATGTTCCTAATTGCATCTTCCTATCAAGAGGGAGATTACTATACCACATGAGGATCGACGAGAGGAATGCGTCGATATGTTGGTTACCTTATTGGGACTGACCCTGATAAGGCGGCAGAGAAGGCAGCTCGCACTAGAGGTGCTCACGCACGATTTAGATTTTTGGCAAACCTTTATAAAGGCCATTTTTAGGGGGCCTTGAATGCCATAGGCGATAATATGTAGGTTGAGTACCACCGACATTGCATATTGAGGTGTTGCTTGTTGTTATTGGTTGGCACGTCAATGTTTGTGGACAAAAGTGCACCATGTGTCGATGTGGTATACCTTAAGTACTCCACACACCTAAGTGCAATTCACGAGTACAACTGAGGGCCTCTTGTTTGGTCCACCTATACTCGAAGTTGAGCGAGACTTGTCTTTGAAAGATAAAGCAAGTGACGGGGTGTTGCACACCCCTTACAATAATTTCTTCTTACTATTATATTCATAATTCATTTGTTACACTTTGTTATTAATATTGTATCTGAACCTTTTTCATGGATTGATCATCTCCCACTTCCCTTGCATCATCAAGTTTGAAGTTGCGCCTGACTACATAGAGAATTGGACTCGTGCAACCATTTTTGTTTCGTACAAAGAGAATGGTGCGGTCTAGCCATTCAGAGTCTCTCTTAACTGTATAGTACCAGATGATGTTTTCTTTTGCCCTTACGAGGATCACTGTCAGACACGTCAGTTTGACGTTATTCCTTATACTCTGTCTGCCTGCGATATGGGGCGTCTCTTATGTATACTTATATGCCTGAGCGAGTGATGCGCCAATTTGACTACTTGCACATTATTTTGAGACCTCCCCGTGAAACCAGAGGATTATCGTTGGGAGCTAGCTCATGCACACCTTGTTTTGATGGTTACTTGACATGGTTTTGTAGGATATCACCCTATCATGACGACATACGCTCCTTGAGGACCACCTAGGCCACTTAACCAGGAGGGGTACTTGAGGTTAGGGATGAGCAAATAGACAGTGTGAAGGTGGTATGTCGACGTGTTGTAGAGATGTGTAGAGCAGCCATATAGTCAGGACTATTTAAGGATGAGAGTCCCTAGTTGTTCTTAGTGGAACGCGTGGTTTTTGAGTTACGGAATATAGTACAATACAGGTGGCAGAGGAGGTCAGCGGTTAGACATACCCAGTAATTTATATTGGGATGTATTTTTTTTTTCCGGACAAATATTATGTATGAATTTTCTTGATTTTATTTATTAATGTGAACTTTTATTTTCCTTTAACTTTACTATAACTACATTTTACTTTAATTTTACGTAAATATAAGTTAACCTCACAAAAATTAAATGTTTGAACATTTGTGATGTTCTAATATGATTAATGGAGGATTCCAGAGATTCATCTCCAAAATAATTCTCTCTTTATATTTTTCATGTTTTAAACAACTTTCAAAAGACATTTCAGAAATACATATTCAAATACACAAAATACCATACAGAGGATATATCTCTAAACTATATTTTTATTCAAAATAAGATGAATTTCAAAATATCTCCGAATCCATAAATTACAATTTTAAATTTTTAAGAAAGTGGTATGCTTTTCCAAGGGTCTCTTAAGCAATCCCCAAACCTTAATCATTACAATTACCTAAGAAACATAATAATCACATAATGGGCCCAAACCTTAAATGATTACAATTACCTAAGAAACATAATAATCACATAATGGGCCTGAGCTAGTTCAATAACCCTACACACACAAAAAACATTAATCATGAAATCTTATCATATTAGTACTTATTTAAACTCCACATCATCATAACAATGGATAAGAAATGTGGAGGAAGGCCCACATATAAAAGTGGTTTTATATTTTTCAAAAGATTAATCTTCTTAATGATAAATCTCGATAAGCTTTATCTGAAAAAGAATGGAAATGCAACACCATACGGTAATTACTGCTACTGGTTACAGAAAATCCACACGTCCTTACTAACATCAAAATATGTCACACCATATCCATACTAAATCCTTCTTTCCCATTATCTATATTTGACTAACTACCCCCATAATACGTGCCGGTAGTTTGAAAACATCACATAAAGACAAATACAACCACCGACCATATTACAGACAAACAACAATCAGACACGTGGACGTGTCAGATTTATAATCCTTAATTACTTTGTCAGATACCAAGTTTACTATCGTATTTTAGTCTACTCAATCATCTCTATAAATATTGAACTCAGAAGTAGAACTTGTAAACAGCAACATTATCAAACGGTTATACAACATGGGTGCTCTTGATCACATCTCCGACCTCTTTGACTGCTCTTACAGAAGAAGTTCCAAGTACAAGAAGAAGCGCAAGCAATTCCAGGTAACGAAAACTTAATCAACTCCATTTAGTATCCATTGAAGTGATTATTAGTTAATGACTAAGTTGTGTTATTATACAGACGGTGGAGGTGAAAGTGAAGATGGATTGTGAAGGATGTGAGAGAAAAGTGAAGAAATCAGTTGAAGGGATGAAAGGGGTGACACAAGTGGAAGTTGAACGGAAAGCAAACAAAGTAACCGTTACGGGCTACGTGGAGCCTTCCAAGGTGGTGAATCGTATTGTTTATCGAACGGGGAAAAGGGCTGAGCTGTGGCCTTATGTTCCATACGACGTGGTTGCACACCCTTATGCTCCTGGTGTTTACGACAAAAAAGCACCTTCCGGTTACGTTAGAAACGCTTATGATCCAAACGTTTCTAGCCTCGCGCGTGCTAGTTCTGCTGAAGTTAGGTATACTACTGCTTTCAGTGATGATAACCCCGCCGCATGTGCCGTCATGTGATCCCACAGTGGCGCGGTAGCTATCGATAGTATATAACATAGTCTGTCTGTTTTTCTTTTTGTCTTCTTTTTTCCTTTTAGTTTAGTTTGCCTTTTCTATTATTGTATTGTACATTCGCGAAGTAAACAAGAAAAATAGGATTTGAGGGCTTTTTTATTATATAAAGCATGGTTTTAAATTGGAGTTAAAAATTGTAATTTGGCCTGTAATATCATTGATACCATAACCTTTACAACATGTATAAGGGTTTTAAAACGGCCACATTGTTTAATTTTGAGAAATATAAATATTTCTCTCTCATGACTATTCATCATTAATATTAGGGTCATGGTTTAAATAAGGAATCGACTTCTTTTATCAAAAGTCTTATGGACACGGTGGTAAAGTATAACACCCTAAAAATTTAATTTTTTAATTTTATATATTTATTATTTTATTATTACTATTATTATTTTAAGTATTTATTTATCTATGTTTTTACTAATGTTCTGTTAAATAAATACTTTTTTTAAAGAATAAATTTATAACATTAACTTCAAAAGTGAATCATAAATTTATTTAATATGTTATAATAAAAATTTAAATTATTTTTTTTTTAAAATTCATACTGTGAATTTTTCAGTTGTACAAATTTAAATGTCAGAAATATAGTTATGTTGAGTAAATAGGTATCGTAAAAATTGAAGAAAGTGATTACTCTAACTAGATTGAAAAGCTCAAATGTAAGGGGATTTACTAATAATTTCGATTAGCACAAGAAATGTGATAATATTATATATATATATATATATATATATATATATATATATATATATATATATATATATATATATATATATATATATATATATATATATATATATATATATATATATATATATATATATATATATATATATATATATATATATATATATATATATATATATATATATATATATATATATATATATATATATATATATATATATATATATATATATATATATATATATATATATATATATAATATTATCACATTTCATGTGCTAATCGAAATTATTAGTAAATCCCCTTACATTTGTGCTAATTTCTTGTTTATTAGTAAATCTCCTTTTATATATATATATATATATATATATATATATATATATATATATATATATATATATATATATATATATATATATATATATATAAATATAATGTAAGGGGATTTACTAATAAATTCGATTAGCACGAGAAATGTGATAGTTATATATATATATATATATATATATATATATATATATATATATATATATATATATATATATATATATATATATATATATATATATATATATATATATATATATATATATATATATATATATATATATATATATATATATATATATATATATATATATATATATATATATATATATATATATATATATATATATATATATATATATATATATATATATATATATATATATATTATAGTTATAATTAGTAACTCATGACATTGAAAATTTGAGATTTTGTAACGATATGCGTTGAAGTTGTTTGTTAATGGTGATAGTAAAGTGGTTATTAATACTAGTGATTCATGTAAAGAATATATAAATAATTTATAAACCACTTGATTTAAGAGCAAAACAGGTTGTTTTTTATAATACGATGAAGTATATAAGACTAAGGATAGGTTCGGTTGAGTCGGCTACAGATCTTCTGGGGGTCACTTCTGGTTTGAACTCTTACCAATGGTCAGTGATAGCTACTCTGCTTGGAGGAAATCATAATACCCGACACGGTGATACCTGACTATACAAGACTATCTAAAATAAGGTGTAGCGCTTAGGTCATAATGGTTGGATTAGAAGTTGAATATCTGCTCATTGCAAACAACCATTTTATGGTTGTTGAAATGACCTTGCGCTCATGTTGAAATAGATGTCTCCATGGAGTAGGATTAAATAAGAAAATTGAAAACTAACACTATTAATGGTAAATAAGAATATTAGATATGTAAATATAGAAAGATTATTATTAGTATTGATTACAAATAATTATTAGAATCATAACCACATAATTGTATTGTGTATATAAATAACTAATAGATTAATGAAAAGGAACGACCTAAATTATCTTATGTGGTATCACACTTGGTTTGTTCCCAAACCTTAAAACCAGCTGTCAACCTTCTTTCTTCATATCTTTCATTTTTTTCTCTTCAACCACTGCAAAGCAGCTATGACTACCACTATTGATTCCTCCAACAACAACTCTTTCTCACACTCCACCGGTCATACCGACCCTCTTCCTCCACCTCCCTCTCCTACGCCGACTCACACTGCTCTCACTGTCCCAAATATTACTAATTTCGTTAAGATTACTCTGAGCATTGAAAAGGGAACGTATAACACGTGGTCAAAACTTTTCAAAATTCATGCTCGAGTTTTTCAAGTGATTGACCATATCATTCCCTTTGAACCAGCCGCAGACCCCTCTCTCAAAACTACTGATCCACATTTATGGCTTCGTCTCGAAGTTGTCGTTTTACAGTGGATATATGGAACAATCTCCAATGGCATTCTCAAAACTATCATCGAACATAATTCCACCGCTGAAATCGCATGGAATCGCTTATTCGACATCTTTTATGATAACAAGAATTCTAGAGCTCTCTACCTAGAGCAAGAATTTTCGCGAACTCATACAGAGAATTCTCTGATGCTTCCTCCTACTATTAGCATCTCAAGTCTCTCTCTGATCAACTAGCTAATGTTGGTGCCCCTGTATCAAATGAACGTTTAGTTCTTCAAATCATTTCAGGATTAACCGATGCATATGCTGCTATGGGATCCTAAACTCGTCATGCCGATTCACTTCCTCAGTTCTATAAAGCTTGTTCCATGATCATTTTAGAAGAAACAACACTGCAGAAAAAGGTGTCAAGCTCATTTGAAAATTCATCTTTCATGGCGTCTCACAATGAAGCACCAACTGATTCATCGACATCCAGTCCTAACCGCGGCAACAACGGCGACCACAATCGTGGTGGCCAAAGCAATGACAAAGGACAGCGAGGACGAGGCCGAGGGCGAAACAATGGACGTGGCAGAGGTCGTGCTCCGCAACAATAGTGGTCTTCACCATATTACCTGCATCAACAGTGAGCTTATCCGTTGTACCCAAATCAATATCAAAAGTGGAGATCCTCACCATGGCAACCATGGGCTACACCACCTTGTCCGTATCCAACAACAAGAAATCCAAAGGAACAACCCGACATTCTTGGTCCCAAGCCATCTCACCAAGCTCATGTCGCTAATGCAGCGCCAACCTCCTCATATGCTCCAACGGATATTCAAGTTGCCATGCATACTTTCGCATTGTCTACTCCTGATGATCAGTGGTACATGGACACCGAAGCAACCTCGCATATGACAGCCAACAGAGGTAATCTCACGTATTACTTCAATATGAGTAATAATATTATTGTCGGTAGTGGTCAAAATATTCCTGTAATTAGTTGTGGACATGCATCATTACCAAATTCCTTTCATCCTCTAAAATCACCTAATGTTTTACATGCACCAAAACTCATAAATAATCTTATCTGTGTTTGTAAATTTACCATAGATAATGATGTGTCGATTGAATTTGATCATTTTAGTTTTTCTGTGAAGGATTTTCAGACAGGAATACTGTTAATAAGATGTAATAGTTCTGGTGATCTCTATCCCATTGACACAAGACCACCTAATAAAACCTTGCCACCATCCACCTTTGTCGCGTTATCCACAAAATTATGGCACAACTGTTTAGGACGTCCAGGAGCTACTATCTTAAGTTCTCTACACCGATACAACTTTCTCCAATGTAATAAGTCTCGGAACAATTACTTTTGTAACTCACGCCCTCTTGGAAAACAAATAAAATTTCCTTTTTATAGCTCTGTGTCTCATACTTTTATGCCTTTTGATATTGTGCGCAATGACCTCTGGACTTCACCAATTCTTAGTTCAGAAGGCCATCGTTACTATGTGTTATTTCTTAACGATTGCACAAAATTTTTATGGACTTTTCCAATTCATACAAAATCTCAGGTTCATTCTGTTTTTCTTCAATTTAGAACTCACATTAAAACACAATTTGACAGAAAAATTAAATGTTTCTAATGTGACAACGGTAAAGAATATGATAACTCTATGTATCATAAATTTTGTAAAAACAATGGAATGTCATTTAGATTTTTGTGTCCTCACACCTCCTCACAAAATGGAAAATCTGAAAGACAAATATGTACCATAAACAACATCATCTGTACCCTTCTTGCCCATGCCTCTTTACCTTCATCAATGAGGCATCATGCATTACACATGCCCACTTACCTACATAATATCCTTCCAAATAAAAAGTTTTCCCTACAATCACCCACTAAAATACTCTACCAAAAAGATCCAGCCTATACTCGCCTTCGTGTCTTTGGATGTCTTTGCTATTCTCTCATTCCTTCATCATATAGGAATAAGTTACAAGCTCGGTCCACACCTTGTGTCTTCTTAGGATATCCCTCAAATCATAGAGGATACAAATGCTATGATTTATCTAGCCGTAAAATATTTAGCCTCTTTACCTCCATCAATGTGGCATCATGCACTACACATGCCCATAATATCCTTCCAAATAAAATTTTTTCCCTACAATCACCCACTAAAATACTCTACCAAAAAGATCCAACCTATACTCGCCTTCGTGTCTTTGGATGTCTTTGTTATTCTCTCATCCCTTCATCATATAGGAATAAGTTACAAGCTTGGTCCACACCTTGTATCTTCTTGGGATGTCTCTCAAATCATAGAGGATACAAATGCTATGAGTTATCTAGCCGTAAAATATTTATTTCTCGGCATGTCATTTTTGATGAAACTAAGCTTCCATTTTCTAATCTAAATGTTCCTACAACGGTTGGCAATAATGTTTTGGATGACGACACACCCTTCCTTCCATCCTATTCCTATAATCCT